TTACCGTATTATTTTCTGTGCTATTTATTGAGTCTTGATGAATTAGAGGCTGAACCCTATCTCGGCCTATAAAAATATTGGCCTGGTGAGCATATAATAAAAATCAAGGCCTGCTTAAGCAGACTCCTTCTAGACTGTTGTGAAGGACAGGAAAAAAAAGACTGCTTGATGGGAAGGGGGTGGATCTATTTATACCAATTTCAGAGTTCCATTTCCTGTCTTTTCTGCTGTGAGGTAAGGAGCTAACCTTTAAGTAAATGCTGCCATGTTTGATCAGGAAATCAAGTTTCATATGTAAGTATTTGATATGAAATTAAAAAGTCATATTTCTCCCGAACAAAATTATATATAATACATGTTGGTGCACTTAATATGGTAGAGGTAAAATATGGTTGTATTATTATTATTATTATGATGATATTTATATAGCGCCAACAAATTCCTCAGCACTTTACAGTGGGTGGACGAACAGACATTTAGTTGTAACCAGACAAGTTGGACACACAGAAACAGAGGGGTTGAGGGCTAGAGGGAGTGGGGTAAAGTGATACAAAAGGTAAGGATAGTATTAGACTAGTGACAGTTACAAGAGAGGAATAAGTCGGGAGCTATTAACAGTTTAATTGATAAGCTTTTATGAAGAAGTGGGTTTTTAACGATTTTTTGAAGGAGTGGGTGAATAGACCAATATCTCAAATTTTAGGTTTTGTTTTGGTTCAGAACATGGATAATTGCCTCTGTAAATAAGGGGTTAATAACAGTGCATTAAATTCATTATATTGACTTTTGTTGGCTAAAGTGCAAATTCAAAACAAATATAAGTAATGATAATTTCTGTGCCTTTTTTTTTTTTAACTGGTTAACACATGCATTCCTAATTATGGAAAATTATTCTGCTGGTTTCCAAGGTGATTGGTCTTTATTTTGCACACAGCCTCAGAACTGCATCTGTTTTGCCTTGATAAGTATGACCTTATGAGTTTCACTTTTATATAATGCTCAGTATAAGAAAATCTGGAAGTTATTTACGCTAAGCTGATCTTCAGAATAAGAATAAATCTTTTTATGTTTTTTAAACAAAGGCTATCGTCATTATAAGATCCTGTCATGCGTTATTTGTTTATTTTAGGTAGACGTAAAGGTAATTGTAAAAAGATGGCAGTACCTCAACCATGAATTGGTTTCTGATTTCCCAAAAGAACATTTTATGAACTAATCCAGTATAATGCATAATAAATATAGAGAGTCTGAGAATCTTATCAAATTCTATTTTGTACTCAAACCTAGAATATTTTCTTTCTATGAAACAATAAGATTTAGGAACAGATAATGTTGCAATAAAATATGAATACCACTTATACATTTCCATTAAAATCATACCAAACAATTATTTTCTACTAAATTAAACTGATCAATACAAGTGTAAGAATGCAACAGGCAATTTATTGCTATGAGTATAAAAATGTTCAATCACGCATCATTAATTTCATAATTAATCTTAATTTGTGTAATATGTTTATCATAGAGTTCACACCAGGGCTGCATTACATAAATGGATTGTAAAAGTGGTATTTTTTTTCTAACTATAGACAGTGTGTTCATAATGTATAAATGTACTCATTATAATTGTAAGTTATGATTAGAGTTGAGCGAACCCGGACTGTAAAGTTCGGGTTCGTACCGAACATTACATTTTTGGACCCCGGACCCAAACACAGACATATCACTGTATGTTCGGGTTGGAGTTTGGTGTTCGGCGATTTAATGGCGTGTTTTCAAAGCCTGCAGGGCAGCCAATCAACAAGCGTTTGACTTGTGTGCCCTTAGAAGCCATCACAGCCATGCCTACTAATGGCATGGCTGTGATTGGCCAGTGCAGCATGTGACCCAGCCTCTATATATAAGCTGGAGTCGCCTAGCGCCGCACGCACATGAGCTCATTTTAGTGTAGGGAGAGGATGCTGACGCTTTCAGGGACAGATTAGGAAAGAATTCTGCAAACTAGTACATTAGTGGGGTGCACTTCATATCTGAGAGTCAAATAGAAGTGTCAAATAATGCGGTTACATCGAAATTTAAAAAGTCAATTTTTTTGGTGCTAAAAAGTACATTAGTGGGGTGCACTTCATATCTGAGAGTCAAATAGAAGCGTCAAATACTGCTGTCACATTGCAGTTTTAAATTTTTTTGGGTGCACTTCATATCTGAGAGTCAAATAGAAGCGTCAAATACTGCTGTCACATTGCAGTTTAAAAAAATTTTAGGTGCTAAAAAGTACATTAGTGGGGTGCACTTCATATCTGAGAGTCAAATAGAAGCGTCAAATACTGCGCTTACAGCGCAATTGTAAACATTCTTATTTTCTGGGTGGTAATCTGCTAAATAGTACATTTTGGGCGTGCTCTTCATATCTGCGAGTCAAATTGAAGTGTCAAATAGTGCGCTTACAGCGCAGTTGTAAACATTCTTATTTTCTGGGTGCTAATCTGCTAAATAGTACATTATGGGCGTGCTCTTCGTATCTGAGAGTCAAATCGAAGCGTCAAATAGTGCGCTTACAGCGCAGTTGTAAACATTCTAATTGCTTTGCTGCTAATCTGCTAAATAGTACATTATGGGCCTGCTCTTCATATCTGAGAGTCAAATAGAAGCGTCAAATAGTGCACTTACAGCGCAGTTGTAAAAATTCTTATTTTCTGGGTGCTAATCTGCTAAATAGTAAATTTTGGGCGAGCATCAAATAGTGCGCTTGCAGCGCTGTTGTAAAAATTCTAATTGTTTTGCTGCTAATCTGCTAAATAGTACATTTTGGGGCCTGCTCTTCATATTTGAGAGTCAAATAAAGGCGTCTAATAGTGCACTTACAGAGCAGTTGTGAACATTCTAATTTTCTGGGTGCTAAACTGCTAAATAGTACATTTTGGGGCCTGCTCTTCATATCTGAGAGTCAAATCGAAGCGTCAAATAGTGAGCTTACAGCACAGTTGTAAACATTCTTATTTTCTGGGTGCTTATCTGCTAAATAGTACATTTTGGGCGTGCGCTTCATATCTGAGAGTCAAATTGAAGCGTCAAATACTGCGCTTACAGCACAGTTGTAAAAATTCTTATTTTCTGGGTGCTAATCTGCTAAATAGTACATTTTGGTTGTGCTCTTCATATCTGAGAGTCAAATAGAAGCGTCAAATAATGCGCTAGGAGCGCTGTTGTAAAAACTCTAATTGTTTTGCTGCTAATCTGCTAAATAGTAGATTTTGGGGCTTGCTCTTTATATCTGAGAGTCAGATAGAAGCGGCAAATAGTGCGCTTAAAGCGCAGTTGTAAACAATCTAATTGTTTTGCTGTTAAACTACTAAATAGTACATTTTGGGGCCTGCTCTTCATATCTGAGAGTCAAAAAGAAGCGTCAAATAGTGCGCTTACAGCGCTTTTGTAAAAATGCTAATTGTTTTGCTGCTAATCTGTTAATAGTACATTTTGGGGCCTGCTCTTCATATCTGAGAGTCAAATAGAAGCGTCTAATAGTGCACTTACAGAGCAGTTGTAAACATTCTAATTTTCTGGGTGCTAATCTGCTAAATAGTACATTTTGGGGCCTGCTCATCATATCCGAGAGTCAAATCGAAGCGTCAAATAGTGCGCTTACAGTGCAGTTGTAAACATTCTTATTTTCTGGGTGCTAATCTGCTAAATAGTACATTTTGGGTGTGCTCTTCATATCTGAGAGTCAAATCGAAGCTTCAAATACTGCGCTTACAGCACAGTTGTAAAAATTCTTATTTTCTGGGTGCTAATTTGCTAAATAGTACATTTTGGGCGTGCTCTTCATATCTGAGAGTAAATTCGAAGCGCCAAATAGTGCGCTTACAGCGCAGTTGTAAAAATACTAATTATTTTGCTGCTAATCTGCTAAATAGTACATTTTGGGCATGCTCTTCATATCTGAGAGTCAAATAGAAGCGTCAAATACCAATATAACAATATTATAATTCGGGTGCAATACCCTCACAAGTCAAACTGAGAGGTCAGTTTATAGGGAAAACTGTTGTCTGGATCCAATTCTAAAACAATTTCCATATGTTCTTTGCAGACTTTACCTGCTGGAAAAACACAGGTGCAAACTGATATGGCTTTCTGCAGTGTGCAAGCCGGCAAGGAGGGCAGGATTGAGGAGTGGGTGAAAGATGATGTGGAGGATGATGAGGTCCCAGACCCCACATGGAATCAAGGTCATGCGAGTGACGTGTGCAGTTTGGAGGTGCTTGTCCCACAGAGGCACCAGCACAGCATAAGAGGGAGCAGGGTGCAAAAGCTGAGCGGCCATCCCCTAGTGCTCATCGGCATGTATTATCTTTAGAATTACCACAGTTATCCAAGTAACAGATGGAGCGATAAAAGGAACCATAACAGATTTAACAAGCCATTTGCAGTTTTGCAGTCTGGTGACCGGAACCCAGACAATGTCTGGGTGGCGGTCGGGCAACTGGTACCCAGTATGCCTGATGTTGAAGTTAGGAGTCACAGTGTGGAATGGATTAGCAGGGTCTGGTGCAGGGTAACCGTATGCCTCCAGGTGTTGAGCACCAGTGTTTGTGTGCCCACATACAAGGACCCTGATGCAGCTTCAGTAAAAAAAGTACTGGATACCAGAAGCCATCACCAGACTGATCAGCAACTTGGAACAGGATGTGACATTCACTGTACCGGCTGTGCGCACTTTCGACGTTATCACCCTGCTGCTGCTCGCCTGTCTACACTGCAGCGTAACTTTGGCCTTCCCGCTTACTGCCTCATATGCGACGTGCCCACAAGGTGGAACTCCACCTTGCACATGCTGGAGAGACTGTGTGAGCAGCAGCAGGCGATAGTGGAGTTTCAGCTGTAGCACGCACGGGTCAGTCACTCTGCACCAGACTTGCCCTCCAATTGATCAGTTAATGGATTTCAAGTGGACTCATTACAATTACAGGGCCTCTAAAGAGTCCTGTATTGTTATTTGTCGTCACTGCCTCCCCGCGTCGGGAGTGAGTCATTTGCGTGCCTGCTGCCTTCCTTGCATGTGGTAGCGGTTTGTCAGGGTCCCTGTATGGAATCGAACCCTGATTCCCCGTTACCCGTGGTCACTATGGTAGGCGCAGTAAATGGTTTGATATGGATTGACATACAAATGCGTCGTCGCCTTGTCGTTGGGGAGCACATTGAAAAAGTGCTCTAGCATGACGAGCTGGGTGATCTCCTCTGGGAACTTGGCTTGATGGGAGTTGAGCCAGTTCTGGTTGGCCCTTGTGATGCCACGGTGTTTACCCAGATATATCAGAGCTGCTGCAGAAAGTGCGGGCTGTCTGTGCGTGCTTTTGGCGTTATCACCCTGCTGCTGCTCGCCTGTCTGCGCTGCAGCGTAACTTCGGCCTTCCCGCTCACCGCCACATGAGACTGTGCGAGCAGCAGCAGGCGATAGTGGAGTTTCAGATGCAGCACGCACGGGTCAGTCGCTCTGCGGAACAGTTTTCTTTTTTTATATATCCCAATATTTTGGGGGCTACCCCAATTAAAAAAAAAAATGTATATATAAAAATCAGTGTAGGCTACCTCCTTATCCTCCACTGCTGCTTCCACCTACACCGCCATGGTCACCGCCTCCTCAACCTATGGGTCACTTAGTATAAACTATGTACACAATAGCAGAGGCTTGTGAAGGCCTTTTCTCCATGCATCAGGAGTTGAGCATTTCTCCATGCATCAGGACTGCGAGAAATGCACCGCAGGCTGCAAATGTTTCTTTTTTTTATATGTCCCAATATTTTGATTGGGATTAAAAAATTCAAAAAATAAACACACAAATAAAAAACAGTGTTGGCTACCTCCTCCTCCACCGCCGCTTCCACCTACACCGCCACGGTCACCGCCTGCTCAAACTATTGTTCACTTAGTATAAACTAAGGCCTTTTCTCCATGCATCAGGAGCTGAGCATTTCTGCATGCATCAGGACTGCGAGAAATGCACCGCAGGCCGCAAATGTTTCTTTTTTTTATATGACCCAATATTTTGATTGGGATTAAAAAATTAAAAAAACAAACACACAAATTAAAAACAGTGTTGGCTACCTCCTCCTCCACCGCCGCTTCCAACTACACCGCCACGGTCACCGCCTCCTCAACCTATTGTTCACGTAGTATAAACTATGTACGCAATAGCAGAGGCTTGTGAAGGCCTTTTCTCCATGCATCAGGAGCTCAGTTTGAACAATGAAAGAGAATACCGTGCACTCCAACCCTCTCTCAAATGGATAATTCTGGTGATCCTCCTGACAGCCATGCTTTAGATTTTGATTTATGTTCTTCCAAAGCTAAAATCAAATATTTCCCTATCCACATTTGTTTGCAGGGCACTTGTCCTACTCTTACCCCCATTATATTTCCTTTTACAGCCCTCTAGCCCTTTCCAGGACTTTTTTAGCGGCATTTTTGTGGCCAAAAGTTCGGTTCCCCATTGAATTCAATTGGGTTCGGGGTCAAGTTCGGGGACAAGTTCGAGCACGAACCCGGACTTTTTTTCAAAAAAAGTTATGATTATTATCATACAAGATATTTATCTTTGCAATGACATGGAATGCAGAGACTGAATATACTTATAGATAAATGTGATTCATACATGGTAAAGTCAAATTAACTCAAAAAATGGCTATTTTTTTTTACATTCACAGCTAATTATATTTATAATATAAAAATATAGCATGTATCGATGCATGTTATTGTTCAGTAGTACAAGTTTAATTTAAAAAATGACGAAAGGTTATTGACCTGAATTTAGCAAATACAATCTTTGGGATTCATTATCAGTATTTTATACATTGGCTTTTTTTGTATGAACAGTATATACAATACAATATATAGTGTAATATTAGCTATTGTTTGCAAATAAGCAGAGGCCTACCCAGGTGTTAAAAATTCCTAGTGGGTGGTGATTTTAGGAGTTATATAAGACTTGATGTCATTAGCTTCTCTAATATAGCTTGGTGCTAATTCTAAGTGCTGTTTCTAAGTGTGTAGTTGGTGATATTCTGGAGAGTTTTACAGAAGCTTCAACTGTCTAAGAGTTGTGCTAAGAGCTTTCTTTTCTACTGTTACAGGTCAGATTAATCTGTATGAAAAGGTTACTGATTGCACAAGGTTTGAATTCCTGTTGGTAATTATAAGGCATTTGATTAAACTAGTTACTTGCTATTGATTGCTGGTTAATTAGCTATTGTTTGCAAATAAGCAGAGGCCTACCCAGGTGTTAAAGATTCCTAGTGGGTGGTGATTTTAGGAGTTATATAAGGCTTGTTGTCATTAGCTTGTCTAATATAGCTTGGTTGCGTCATCTAAGTGCTGTTTCTAAGTGTGTAGTTGGAGATATTCTGGAGAGAAACTGGAGGTAATCTGAGTTATTCAGGAGGATAAATACAAAGTTAAGATTTGTTAGATTTAAATTATTCTCCTAATTGGAATGGCAGACTTAGTTCAGTGTAACAATTGTTATGCATTTGTTTCACGTTCCACTTTTTGGAGGTTTGGTTGTTGTCTAATCTGTAGACAGTTCTCTATCTTGCGGCAGGAGATTGTATTTTTGAAGTCTGAGATTTGTAAATTTTATGGTGAACAAACTCAGACTGGAACTGCTGCAAAGGCACTGCGGCAAAGACATACTAGGAAAGGCAGATGGATTACTGTAGGATCTGGTAGACTTAGAGTTGTGGGTAAAAGGCATTTTGCACAGTCTGTTGCTCTTCATAATTAATTTTCTGCACTTTCAGAGTGTAATGGTGTTGTGGAGAGAGGCACTGAGGCTAGTGGTGTTGTGGAGAGAGGCACTAAGACTAGTGGTATTATGGAGAGAGGCACTGAGGCTAGTGGTACTGTGGAGAGAGGCACTGAGGCTAGTGGTGTTGTGGAGAGAGGCACTGAGGCTAGTGGTGTTGTGGAGAGAGGCACTGGGGATAGTGGTGTTGTGGAGAGAGGCACAAAGACTAGTGGTATTGTGGAGAGAGGCACTGAGGCTAGTGGTATTGTGGAGAGAGGCACTGAGGCTAGTGGTGTTGTGGAGAGAGGCACTAAGACTAGTGGTATTGTGGCGAGAGGCACTAAGACTAGTGGTATTGTGGAGAGAGGCACTGAGGCTAGTGGTATTGTGGAGAGAGGCACTAAGACTAGTGGTGTTGTGGAGAGAGGCACTGAGGCTAGTGGTGTTGTGGAGAGAGGCACTGAGGCTAGTGGTGTTGTGGAGAGAGGCACTGAGGCTAGTGGTGTTGTGGAGAGAGGCACTGAGGCTAGTGGTGTTGTGGAGAGAGGCACTGAGACTAGTGGTGTTGTGGAGACCGGCTTGGAGACTATGGTGAGGCCTAATAGAAAGCAGTTGTTGTTGGGGGATTCCATTATAAGAGGTGTGGAGATGGACAATGGTGGTCTTGTGAGGTGTCTTCCCGGAGCTACTGCTCACAGAGACAGGAGACGTATCTGTAATATTGTTAAGCAAGCAAAGCAGGAAGGGGAATTGGATGTACTTGTCCATCTAGGGACAAATGACTTGGCTTGCAATGAGGTTTCAGAGGTTAAGGAAGTTTTTAGTGTTTTTGCCAATGATATACGGCAGGTTGCTTCCACACTGTCATTCTCTGAAGTTCTGCCTGTGCATAACACTCAGAACGACAGGCGGATGCGTATTAGGGACTTTAATTTGTGGCTTGGTGAATGGTGTCGGGAGCAAGGATTTGGCTTTATTTCTCATGGTAGCTCTGTTTGGAATGGAGATAAGCTGTACAAAAAGATGGTTTGCATCTTTCTCAAAAGGGAACAAATGTTCTCAGTGAGCAGTTCAGAGGTTTTGCTAGGATGTATTTAAACTAGGAGGGGGGGGCAAAAGGGTGATAAAACATCAATCCAATTGTCCCCAAAACAAGGACAGAAGGTGCCTGTAGCAAGTGTGTTAAAAAATGATAAGCTTAGAGTCATGTCTACAAATGCTCGCAGTTTAGGGAATAAGATCCATGAACTTGTGGCAATAATGGCAACTGATAGTGTAGATTTAGTCGCTGTTACTGAGACATGGTACAATGAGAAAAATGACTGGGACATAGCAATACCAGGGTACTCTTTATATAGGAAAGATAGGGAAGGCAAGAAAGGGGGAGGGGTGGCCTTGTATGTGAAGGATAGCATAAAATCTAGCCTAATAAAAGTTAGTGAGGCAAACATAGAGTCCGTTTGGGTTACGTTAGAATTTGGCAATCACACAGTAACTCGTGTAGGTGTGATTTATAGGCCCCCAGGACAAATTGAAGAGTTAGATAATCTACTAGTTGAGGAAATAGCTAAAATGACAATGAAGGGGGAAGTTATCATCATGGGTGATTTTAATCTTCCTGATGTAAATTGGAAAACAAAATTAGCTACTTGTGCCAGGAGCACACATATTCTAAACTCCCTACTTGGATTGTCTCTAAAACAAGTTGTTGAGGAGCCAACTCGTAAAGAGGCCATACTAGATTTAGTGTTAGCAAATGGAGATTTGGTATCAGATATTACTGTAGGTGAAAGTTTAGGATCCAGTGATCATCAATCAGTGTGGTTTAATATAAGAACAGTGACTGAGTCACACCACACAAAAACAAAAGTTTTAGACTTTAGAAAAACAGACTTTTCTAAAATTAGAATATGGGTAGAGGAGTCATTATGAGTGTAATACTTATTTTGTAATATTTCTTTAATTGGAACTCAACTGCAGCATTTCTTGGTTGCAACAACAATAAGGTTCACCTCCTTTTATATTGGTATGAAACTATGGTCACTGTACCTTTAAATATCCATGTAGGCAAAATTAGGCTTTGTAGCAATCCCTTATGAGTAAGAGGAATAATTAGACAAAGTGACACTTTAGTGAGTTTTAGATACTGTGTAATATAAATAATAGTAATTGACTTGTTTGGTAAAAGTATTACTTAACTTAAAGGCAGTTCTGGCACTGGAAGGGTTAATTCACCCAATGAAGGAGAAATTAGAAGTCCGTTTCAACAAGCTGAGAACTAGGAGTGGAGAGTGGGGAAGTCCGTTTTAACAAGCCGAGGTCTGGGAGTGGAGAAGGTAGAATTCAGAGTTACAAGCTGAGGTCTAGGAGTGGAGAAGGTAGAAATCCGTTTACAAGCCGAGGTCGAGAAGTGGAGAAGGTAGAAATCCGTTTACTAGCCGAGGTA